AACAATTATTTTTGGAAACAGGCAACTGTACACGGTACATTGTAAAACCCTATCTTAAACCAAATGATAAAGTAAGTAAAGTCAGCCTCCTGCGCCTCCCACCCCACCACCCTAATGGCTGCTCATCAGAGTTCACATCTGCTGTCTGACCCCCCACATAACCTGAGCCAACAGTAACTGAGCACGTGCTATGTGCCGGACAGAGGGCCAAGCACCTCATAAAGATCACATTTATATTCTCACACTACATTATGAGTTAGATCACCAATATAACTGCCCAGATATAAGGAGACCCATCTTACTCAATGAAAAGACCCTCCAAATACCACTTTTTATCCAGTTAATTATATAAACAATCTTAGGGCTGGAGCTGAAGTAAATATGATGTATAAAATTTATTAATTCAGTTGCACATGCATATTTAAAACCACATACTATTTAAATTATATATTAATGTAGAAATATTGCTTTTTTCTGGTCTTACAGATCATTACACAATTTTATTCACCGATGTGTTCTTTTTCTCTAGAGCCAAATTTGGAGTCACTCAGTTCATCTTTTCCAGGACACATCATCTTCATTTCCATCTCGGTTTTTTGAGATGCAGCACACTGTCACTGGAAATTTTATCCCAAGCCACGAATACCCACTAATATAACATTAGAACAGTTGTTCTGTTTATTCAAACTACAGGTGTATACTGATGAGCTCTGCAACGTAACCATTCACTGCACTGCCTTTTAAAGGAATCCTCAGAAGGTCTGTTTACAATGGACCTGATATTTGCATTCAGGAGGTCACATTCCCAGAAACAATTGCTAAATCTGTGTTCAATTCACTTGTCTCCTTTCTGTTTACTGATTCTGTCGGAAAGCCTCTGCAAGCATCCCAAACCAGCACTGATTGAACTCATTTCAGACCTATGCATTTTCTTTAAACAACACCATGTTTTTTCAGTTAAAATAAACAAGACAGCATCCCAAAATTTAAGACATTTTGTAAGGATTCCCCTATTTGGATATGCCTTCTTTTCTAAGGGATGATTTTGGTAAAAGCCCTTGTATTTGTGTTCTAATTTACATAACACCATTAACCCCGTTTTACAGATCGTGAAACTGAGGCTCAGAAGTTGAGGTAACTTTGCTAAGATCAACGACTTAGTATTTAAATAACAGTGTTTAAAGGCCTAGCTAGGACTGCCTGCCAGGAGGCCATGTGTTGAACCCACCAACTGCACTGCCTGTGGTCTCCCAATGTGGCCTCTGATCCATGTCCACTTTCTGTAGCCAATTCCCTTTCCAGAAGTTCCCTGAGGCTCTCAGAATCCATGCCAATTCTCACTCCTGCCTCTGACTCCATCATTTCATTTACAGGAATTTAACTGAAGGAAATAATCAGAAAGGTGCACAGTGATTTAGCCTCAGGATATTCATGATAGCATTATTTTTAAGGGAGAACACACACTAAACATCCACAATGAGGGATGTGTCAAACTAACTATATGCTCACAGTGGAATGCTAAGCAGCCGTGTTTAACATTCATGAAATATTAAGTGGAAAAAATGAGAAGTTGTGTAATAGGATTCTAGTTTTGTTTTCTTAACAGTATATATACATCAAAGAAGACTGGAAGGAAGAACATCTTAACTTGGTTAATCCCTGGGTGATGGAATTAAAGGAAATGGTTATTTTCTTATTTGTATTTTTCTGTCTCCCACCTTCCAAAAAATATGCCTCTTCCAAAAGAATAAGTCCAACAGTGAGAATTAGGCAGCAAAGAAAGAGGAAATGTACCACATGGAGTGACAAGAGAAATTCCTGGGTGAAAATGGTGTCTGATTTCATAAACTGTTGCCTACTCTACTTCCACAAAGGTATTGCCCTGCAAAAGGATTTTCCAATTAAGGGGAAAAGATTAAGGTTGTAATCCTGGCAAGTTATCCAGCCCCAAATCTGTTTGGTCTATTACAACCGCACAGGTGTAATAACCTGTCTTAGAGAGTCAACTAAGTGGACAAACCACTTGGCCATATGTCAGACCCTCTGCTATGGCCAAAAATCAAGCGAGCTCTCCTAGAGAATTAGCTAGTGCTCTTTTAACCCAGTCCCTGGCTCAGGGTTGTACTAGGTGGAAAGTAACAGATTTAGCAAAAATAGCACATTCCCCACCCTCGGGGAGTCCACTAATCCAGCAAAGACATGCTGATAAAGACGTGGACACAGTGAGCAGAACAGGAATGGGCACACTCTGGGGGAGGCTCAACAGTCACAGCCGGTCACTTGCTGGTATCTGGGAGTAACGTCCAGTACCTGGAGAGCTAATTGCACTGGATTGAAAAAGGTAATAGGAGTCTAATTTGTATTCATTGCCAGGTAGAAGCAAGACTGTCTCTTAGAAAGCTACCATTCCACACCCCTGCCACATGGTTTCTGGCTCTTTCAAGAGAACAATGAGAACAGATTAAAAAAAAAATGAGAACAGACAAAAAACAAAAACAAAAAGCCCACATGTATACAACTAATATGTAAACTCTGGTAGGCAGCATCTAAGATGGCTGTGAGTGATCCTCACCTCTTGGGATTTACTCCCTAGTATAATCCCTGCTCCTTAAGAGTGGGGTGGACTTACTGATTTGTTTCTAATGACCAGAATACAGAGAAGTGATGGAATACCACTTCTGAGATTCAATGATAAGAAGGTTGTGGCTTCTATCTTGAACAACCTCTCTTTCTCTTGCTCTCTCTCTCCTTACTCTAGGGAAATCTAGCTGTCATGTCACAAGGAAGTTCTATTGAGGCCCATGTGGTGAGGGACCCAGGCTTGCCAACAACCAAGTGAGTGAGCTTGAAAGCAAATATCCCCCAATCGAATCTTCAGATGAGAGCACAGCTCCGGCCAACAGTGCAGCCTCCTGAGAGATCCTGAACCAGAGGCACCCAGATGAGCTTCACTCAGCCTTCTAACCAACAGAAATTGTGAGATATTAAATGTCTGTTGTTTTAAGCCACTAAATTTTGGGGTAATGTGTTACATGGATTAGTTATCTACATAACTAATACAGACTCCAAATAGAAACTTCCAAAAAGAGGTTCCAGATGGTATTAATGAGTTTTAAAATAAGAAGTCTAGCTGATTCACTCAGTCCTTACATGGACTCTGTATCCATATACCTGGGAGTTCATACCCCAGCTCCACCATCTACTAGCATGTAACTATAGCAAATTATTCAACCTCACTCTTCCTCAGTTTCCTGGTATAAAATGGGAATAATAATAATAATACCACTTAGGTCATAGGCTAAAGATCAAATGAGTGTGTGTGTGTGTGTGTGTGTATGTGTGTGTGTGTGTGTGGCTTACATCAGTGCCTGACAAAGAGTAAGTGCATATACATGCTTGTTATTATGACTATTAAAACATGATAATAAAAAATGAGACATCAGTATATACCCTGTATTTTTAAATTTTTCGTTTACATTTTATTTTTACAAAATCAGATTTATATTAAAATTTCAAAAACAGAAAAAAGAATGATCAGATACTCTTCTAGATTCCTCAGATGTTAACATTTTGTTCTATTTGCTTTAGCCTTCTCTTTTATATTTTTTTCAGACTGATTTAAAAGTAATCCCTAGATACTCCAGTGTGTCTTTTCAAAAAACAAGAAGTTTTCTTACATAACCATAGGAAATCATCAAAATGGAGAAATGAACATTGAAGCAACATTATCATCTACTCTATAGGTCGTGAGGTTTTTTTGTCCATTATCCCAATAACGTCCTTGACAGCAAAAGAAGATCCAAGATCATGTACTGTATTCAGTTGTCATGTCTCTTTAGTCTCTATAATCTACAACAGTTCCTCTTTTTGTCTTTTTGTATTTATGACACTGATATTTTTGAAGAATACAGGCTAGTTATTTTAGAGAATATTCCTCAGTTTGAGTTTGTCCAGTGTTTCCTCATAATGGGATTCAAGTTACAGTTTTTGGTAGGAATACTCTGTAAATGATGCTGAGTTGTCACTCCGTGGTATCAGGTAGCACATGCTGTTGATCAGTGCCATTTCTGGAAATGTTAGCTTTGATCGTTGGTTATATGTCTACCGGGCACTCTAATGTTACTATTTTATTCTTTGTAACAAAAAGTAGCTTGTGGAGGATAAAATTTGAACCTATGTAAATATCCTTTCATTCCTTGAACTTTGATCCACAGTGCTAAAACCAATTATCACTATCCTGGTTGGCAAATGGTGTTTTTCTAATTCTGTAACTTATTTTATATTTTTTAGTTGACATTATACTATAAGGAAAATCCTTTCCCTCCTTCCTCATTTATTTACTTATTCATTCACTTATATCAGTGTAGAGTCATAGATTCTAACCTTATTAATCTTTCACTATCCATAATTTTTATTGAAACAAAATATAAATCTGAACAGCTCTAAGTCAAATAGATTCCTTTGACAAGATTTATAGACCAAGACAAGATACATCATTTTTAAAAGACACAGGTCTATTTTCTTTTATTAGAGCAGAGATTTTGCTCAGGTTAAGAATTTTTCACTGTCTTTGTCTATCCTCTGGTCAAGGTTAGTACCCCTGAAGACTGAGAAACTGGGTTGGCATTATTATTAATCATTCCTGCAAAACATGACAGTAAGGAGCATTCAAGATAAATCGTGGGCATCTCTTCTAAGAATTTAAGAAACCTGGTTCTACCCCAATATTTTATCAACAATTTGGAAAAGAATTCCAACATGACTTTACCCTTTCATATAGATTTTTGTACAAGTATAATTAACATAGAGAATGGACTAATTCATAGGGTGAAAAACGGGAAAACAATATTTTTTAAAATTACTTCTTCTAAAAAATTCTAATTTTTCTTTCCCAGCCCTAAACAGATCTGCAGCTTTGCCCATCCTTTCTGGTGTTAGAAGAACCTCATTAAGGCACCCAAAAGTCAAGTTCCAATAGAAATAAGCACTTCAGTCTCTCATTCAATTTAAAGCTTCTTTCTTTTCCCAGCTCAGAATAAACACATGAACATCCTTGACCTGCAAAAGGGGAAAGAAAATTTAGTCGGCTTCACTCTTCCTTCATCTTGGTCTTTTCTTTATCACTCTTCTCATTGTTTTGCCTTTGCTCCTTCTGCTCTCTGTAGGACCTAGGGTGAGAAGACTGGTGAGTGAGCAAAATCTTACTTGACTGGTAATGTAATTTAGCTATGTGTCCTCCATGGGGCAGCTGCCCAAATGCCAACTCTTTCTACTTCTCTCACCAGGTGCGTTCCTGGGTCTGTTTGAGACAGTCCATTTCAGACACCTCCAGCTTTCAGTCTCCCTCCTAAGGCGATGCACTTTCTCATTAACCTCTCATGACTAGGCTCCTCTGTTGGCTTCTGTAACACCCAGTGACTCAAGAGAAGACTTAGTATCTCTGCCCCTAAATGCTGGTGAAACCATTTTCCACCAGTCAGCCCTTCACTGAGCTCCAATTGGAATTTCACCATTAGACCTTCTTGCAGGAATGGTACTTTTCTCCTACCTTGACTCCAGGGAGCCAAAGTCAATTTCTTCCAGAAACTCATCATAACACACCCTGGGGCACACCTATAGGTTTTTGCAGTTCAGAATGCATTTAATGAGGATGATGCCTCTGTTTCTTCTCCCAGAAGATAACCCCGCTCTTCACAAGTGACTCTTTAGAAGTGCCCTCTACTTGGTCTGGGGTGGAAGAAGGACATCCCTCTCAGGAGGGAAAACACTGGACAACCTGACAACTCTCTCCAAAGAAATTCTGACTTCCTCAACATTTCAATTTTGCCTTCTCATATATAGACTTGAAGTGGGATCTGGCTAGAGTAGAAGGAGCAGTTTCAGTCCCTTGTTGTCCTGTAGACATACCTACCACCTTTTTTAGGATATGAGGGTTCTTGTCACCTTCTTTGTCTGATACTTGCTGTCAAATAAATGCTTTGTGATTTGTATTTTTCCACAATGCTGAATAAATTTTATAAGGATGGTAGCCTAGGCTTCAAGGGGAAGGGCAGGTGTGTGAGGAAGGGCTTGTACAAATGTTTGAGAAAACTCTCCTTTTTCTATGAAGGCTTCTTGATGGAAGATCCCAATCTATAGAACACTCGTCTCCAAAGTTTTACTTCATTGCCTCCAAACTTCTTATCTTCCTATTAAGAATGGCACCTGGCTTATAGCCCAAGAAGCAAGCTCCATCAGCTTTCCGCTGAAATACCTATTTGTAGGAGAAGAACTTAAGAACTTACAACCATTTCAAAACTAGAAGTGGCCATCAATTTGTTGCTAAAATCTAGGAAAGATTTTTATTATCTGCAAAGCCTTATGGAAATGTTAACAAATGAACCAAGCCATCCTCCTAAAATTGCGAGGAAAACCATTCCTGCTTCTCCCATTGTCTGCTTTCTCTGTTTATAAATCTGAAATAAGCTGAAAGCTGAGCAGAAATCTGTCTAATGTCTAACTGCTACTTTCTAAGGTAGCCATAATTCTGCCTAACTGCTACTTTCTAAGATAGCCATAATTCTGTCCATACCATCTCCCCTCTACATGACTGGACAGAGCCATTCTCAGGAAAACAGATCAGGCATAGAAACTGTATTGGGACATTGTATCAAAGTATGATGTCCAAAAGGAGATACAGACCAGGACAAAAGAGCCCTGGTAGTACTGCTTATTGGAAATCGTACATTTTAATGCACCATGATATTGAGAATTTCAGGGAACAAAGCAGCAAAGACAGGAGGCAATCACACCAGTAGAATAACACTCTCCAGACACTGGAAGAATGTCCTGCCTTCAAATCACAGATCTTAAAAGGAGATTAACCCAGCCATCAGAAAATAATCATCAAAGATGCCAAAATAAAAAAAAAAAAAATAGGGTTTAAATTTTGGAGGCCAAAAGGAGATAAAAGTAATTTTTGAAATTACAGAATTAATACAAGTAGTTTTAGTGAGCAACCAGATTAAATAGAAATCTACCAAAAGCATTTATGTGCCTATGTATCAGCAGAAACTCGTTAGAAAAATATAATAAGAAAAATAAAGACTCCATATATAATAGAAGACAGTAAGTAGAAAATATCCAGGAATGACGCTAATAAGAAATGTGTGCTCGAAACCCACATGATGAAGCTTTAATGAAAAATAGAAAAGACTTACATATCTCCTCAAAATTGTGCTTTGATACAACGCTAGTCCAGTAGAAACTGCAATGGACTTTAAAAATTTTGAAATTACTTTGAAGTTTATCATGAAGAATATGCAGGAAAAATGAAAGTGATGAGAGAGATCTTTCCTAATAATTATTAAAGCTAATTATAACATTATGATTAGCACTAGCACAAATCTCAAAAAAATAGAACAAAATCACCCCATATATATATATATGCTTATAAAAACTTAAAGGAAGCAACAAAGAGGGTATGAGATGAATTATCTCACAAATGGAGAATGGCTATTTTTAAAGTATACATGATCATGTATATGCATTTATGTGAGATTATGTATATATCTTTAGAATTTAAAACACAAAATAAATACTAAGGATGGAAGGAAGGAAACTGGTTATATGGGGGAAAAAACCTTACAGTGCAACCATATACCCTATTCCAAAATTTACTCCAGATTTTAAGGTTAAATCATTTAACAAACTGGAATAAAACAGAGGTTAATATCTAAACTGACCTCAAGATAAGCAAGGAGTTTTGAAGTGTAATGCAATGAGCCCAACCACAGAGTGTAAGTTATATATATGGTCAAATGATTTTCAGCAAAAGTACCCAAGTAATTTGGTACTGAGTTAAAGTCAAGTTTATCCAAAACCTCAGAATATAAACTTATTTGGATACAGGGCCTTTGAAGATGAAATTAATTATGTTAAAGTGAGCTCATATGGAATAGGATGGCTCCTAACTCCAATGACTGGTGTCCTTATACAATGGGGAAAAGGAAATTTCTTCAGTGGGTAAAAGGAAACCTTTTCAACAAATGGTACTAGAAATATTGGATATCCAAGTCGAAAAATAAATAAAACTTGATGCTTACTTTATACTATAATATAAAAACTAACTCAAATGGATCATGTTCTGTAATACATTTATAATAAAACATAGATGAAAATTGTAGTCACCTTGGGTTTATAAAAGATTTCTAAAATAGGACACAAAAAGCACGGATTATAAAAAAAGAAATCAATTTGATTTCATCAAAATTTAAAACTTACACTTTTTTTTAATAGTATTACCTATTACAACCTGTTTACTTTTTTAAAAAAATATTTTATTTATTTTTTTGACAGAGAGAGACACAGCAAGAGAGGGAACACAAGCAGGGGGAGTGGGAGAGGGAGAAGCAGGCTTCCCACTGAGCAGGGAGCCCGATGCGGGGCTCGATCCCAGGACCCTGGGATCATGACCCGAGCCGAAGGCAGACGCTTAACGACTGAGCCACCCAGGCACTCCAAAACTTACGCTCTTTATGAAACATGACAAAATAAAAGGCAGCCACACACTGGGGAGAAAATATTTGCAAAACATATATGACAAAGGGACTTTATCTAAAATATATAAGGACTCTCAAAATTCAATAATAGAACCCAAAAAATGCACAAATCATCTTAACAGACATTTCACCAAGGAAGATGTAAGAATGCCAAAAAACACATGAAAAGATGTTCAGCATCATTAGTTATTGGGGAAAAGCAAATTAAAATCACAGTGAGATATCACCACATATCCACTAGAATTGCTAAAATTTAAAAGGCCACCCATACCAAGTGATGGTCGTGACATGGAGCAACTGGGACTCTCCTACATTGCTGGCAGGAATGTAAAATGTTACAATCACTTTGGAAAACAGTTTGGCAGTTTCTTAAAACTTTACATCTACACCCACCATGTGACCCAGTCATTCGGTACCAAGGGATTTCCTTAAGAGAAATGAAAGTCTATGTTCACACAAAGACTTGAACAGGAAATGTTCATAGCAGCTTTATTGGTAATATCTACAAACAGGAAGCAATCCATATGTCCATCAATGATTGAAAAAACAAACTCTGGCATAACCAACTATATAATGAAATACTACTCAGCAATATAAAGAAATGAAATATTGATACATGCAACAGCATAGATGAATTTCAAATAATTATGCTGAGTCCAAGAAGCTGGGGGGGAGGCATATTTTATGACTCCATTTTTATAAAAGTCAAGATAGTGCAAACGAAGATGCAGTGATAGAGAGTAGATCAGAGGTTACTGGGGAGGGAGAAGGAATTGAGAGAGTAACTGCAAGGGGCACAAGTAAACTCCTAGAAATGATGTATATGCCCATTATCTTGACTGTGGTGATGGTATACTTTAAATATGTCTGGTTCATCGTACATTAACTATACTTCAGTAACCCTTTGAAAAAGAATAGAACTATAAAAAAAGTAAAAGGCAAAAAATAAGGGGAGAGTATTTTCAATAACAATGACATGTAGTAGTTAATGTACCAAGCATATAATGTGGCCTTACAAATCAATAAGAATAGATAAGTGAATTAAAAAGTCAGAAGTGTAAACAAACCATTCACAACTGAAAAATATGCAAATTTTCAATAATTATATTAATAACAATATTTTAAAAAATGATTTGCCTGCCAATTCTCATTTATAAAAATGGCATTTTTTAAACCTAATGATTAATGCTGATATTGATACGCTGAGATGAGTATTCATAATCCACAAATCAATGGAAATGTAATTGGAAAAACTTTTCAGAAAAGTCATTTGCCAATATCATTAACATATTCATATCTCCAGGTGTTGCAACCTGAAGTCATTTTAATTTTTCCCCTTATAATTTCCTCTGTGTATTTTTAACAGCAACCACACATTTTTTTAATCAGAGAAAATATTTATAAAATGGAAAATATGTGAATTAGCTTCATTTTGCAAATATACATACACAAAGAGTAGATTGTACCTTCCAGGTCTCCCCCCGCTCCCTCCCTATTGACTGCTCATTTCCCGTAGTCATTGTCACCATGGGATCACTGTCACCATGGGATGTCTCTTCCACATGACTCATAAAATGGACACCATGACGACAACCACAGTGCTCCATTATCATCTCCCAGCCACATGGTTCCAGCTTATTCCACCATATATGCATCAGCCTTTTTCTAACACCACTCAGATTCTTGCCAGGAGTCTCAAGTCTCTGAGGACATTAATACTAGCTTCTCAAGAAAAAAACTAATCTCTAAGGATCTTTATGTCCATGGATGGGGAAAAAAAATCCATGTTTTGTCCTCTTGGCAGCTAACCCAGACTTAAAAGGCAGATTATCACTGACATCCTGCAGAAAGAGGAACACAGTGGAATGAATGAAGGGGAGGTAAGATGCAGTAGACCTCAGCAGATCATGGAAGGCCCCAGACCAGCCTGCCATGATCCAACTTCCAACTATTGCTCTCTCTCCCTCCTATACTAAATGGACTCTCATTTGCTTTCAGAGTAAACCAAGTTTTGAATGGAGATCTATTTATCCTTGAGTGAACTAATAAAGGAGTTTAAGTCCCCACAAACCAGACCATCTAGCAGAAGGAGACTGTCCAGTCTGCAAATATTGACACCAAACAGTGACTGTGTCAATGGGTCAAGCTGCAGAACAGCTGCAACAACACAGACAAGGCATGAAATGTCCTCCTGGGCTCAGGGTTCACATACTGATCCAATCTGAGGATTATCAGTTGTCCTAAATACTCATTAAATCACAAGTGAAGAGTGTTTTCTTTCATGGCCTGACATCTCAATGACCGTGTTGAATCATTTTTTAAGATTAGAACTGAAGCCAGAATGATTACCATTCAGGGCACAGGCTGGTCTTAACCGCTGCAAATTGGCCACCCCTGGCTACCTTCAATCCATTGGTAAGAACAGATGAAAACATTCACAGCCATGCTCACAATCTTCACCTTTGTTCTTTTTTTTTTTTTTAATTTAAATTTATTTATTTGACAGAGAAATAGCGAGAGCAGGAACACAAGCAGGGGGAGTGGGAGAGGGAGAAGCAGGCTTCCCACAGAGCAGGGAGCCTGACGCAGGGCCCGATCTCAGGACCCCAGGATCATGACCCGAACCGAAGGCAGACGCTTAAGAACTGAGCCACCCAGGCGCCCCTTCACCTTTGTTCTTGAGAGAAACACCCAGCAATAACGAAACATGGATTTCATCAAAGCAAACTATTTTCTTGACCATAAAAATGTATTAAAAATTTTTTAAATGAATATGGGTGACAAACTAGACATTTCCCCAAGTAACAAAGAAAGTCATTCAGAATGTTGGATTCCAAGTAGAGCTCTGGGGTCAAGTTTGGTTCTGCCATTAACTTTTTTGGGTACCTCATTCATCTCTCTATGCTTTAGTTTTCTCACTGGTAAAATGAGGGTATCGAAGTAGATGATCTCTAAAAGCATTATGCCTAAACACCTGGTTAGAAGTCTAATACAAGATGCATCTGGTCAACAGACACATGGTCCTGAAAGGCTAGAGCCTTCTGGTCATGAGCCATAAAAGTGGTCCATGGTCTCTTTGTTCTAGTTAGTGTCCAATCTTTCCTTCCTTAGGGCAATATGCCTCATGACTCAGCCTTGGAAGTAGAGGCTACATGGAATCATGATTTAAGGGGGCATCAAAACATATCAGTTAAATATTTGGAAATATTATCACAATTACATTTGCTTACAAGCTTCTTTATGGATTCCTTACACATGGTGGGCTAAAAACATTGTTGGTGAATTAATGTATGAACAAATGAAATGCAAAATCTGTGGACCACATTTTAATGTAGCAAACTTTATTGCTCTTGTCTACCTGGGCATTAGCAAAAAACAATACATGAAAGAACAGATCTTTAGTAAGCCTTCCTAATAGATATGCAGTAATTGCTCAGTGAGCAATACAAGATCATTATTAAATGAGCACAGTGATACATATGGAACTGACATAGTCTTTAAGGATAATATATAAAAGGTATTCACACAATTCTGGATTCTGGGATTAAGATCTTTGCCATTTGAATCAACTCTCTGTGTTTCCTGACACCAGCCCTTATTAACAGATAGTTTTACTGGCTAGCTGGGGCTCCAAATGTGTAACCAACTCTTCCACCTGAACCCATCCCAGTAAATGCTTATGTTAATTTGAGATACTGGGAAAGATTCATATTGGAACTAAAAAGTGAAGAAGGAAATCTGGTACCACTGGACAAAGTAGAAAGGAGAGAAGGGCCAGAGTTTGGTGAAGGTAGCATGACATCTCTTCCCCATCAGGGTGTGTACTGGTTAGGAACTGGGATCCAGAAGCTGATTACTGGTTTGAGTTCTCACTGCATCATCTCTTAGCTGGGTAACCATGGGAAAGTGATGCTCTTGATTTTAACTTCATCATATGTAAAATGGGTGCTAATAATTCAACCTGATAGCATCACTGTGAAGATTAAATATCACTGTTGCCTGGCATTTGAAAGACTGTCTGGTGCACAGTAAGAGCTCAGTGAATGGTGGCTATTACCATGGCCAGCCTCTTGGACTGAGTCTGAGCCCATATGGTCAGGAAAAGGAGAGCTAGAGAAGGTTTTCAGGAGAGACTTAATGAGAGTCTGGTGAGGGGCTGAGCCAGAAATGGGCCCAAGTATTCACGAAAAACTGTATAAAATGTGAGGCATAGGACACAGAGAAGATAAGGGTTTCTGTGTAGGAATCATCCATTCTCTCCAGGTCTGCAGAGAAACTAACCATGCTATAGCACTTTGAAAAGTGGAAGCTTGAGAGGCACCCAGGAATAATGGTCTTAATATTAATAATAGTGTGCATTTGTTGAGCACTTGTTGTCCATCAGGCCTGGTTTTAGTTATATGGACTGATTAATTTTAGCATGGAGATTCGCCTTCCCAATGAAGGGTAGGAGCGGGAATGACGATGCTCCAAGCAGCTCTGAGGTCAGCAGCCGTGGATGCGTGGGAGCAGGGAGGGACTGACGGGTTTATAAGATCATGGGAGGCACTTCTCTGGGGAAGTGTGCCTAGGACATCTAGGAGGTAGGATCAAGGGGAGCTAATTCCATTTATGAAGCTGGTGAAAGCTTATGCCTTCATACTATGGGTATCAAAAAGAGGGGACCGGGGCGCCTGGGTGGCTCAGTCGTTAAGCGTCTGCCTTCGGCTCAGGTCATGATCCCGGGGTCCTGGGATCAAGCCCCGCATCGGGCTCCCTGCTCGGCGGGAAGCCTGCTTCTCCCTCTCCCACTCCCCCTGCTTGTGTTCCCTCTCTCACTGTGTCTCTCTCTGTCAAATAAATAAAATCTTTAAAATAAAACAAAAAGTGACCAGTACTTACAAATATGAGGCTGGTATGTGCCATGCTATTTGGAGCATTCACCCAAATAGTCAAAAAGAGTGGATTTATCTTCATGGCTGCAGCATTTGCCAACACATGAGCCACATTCAGTTTCTCTAAGGGAACCTGAGACCGTGTCATAATCACATGAATTCTTTACCCACATTTGACTCAACACCTCCTCTGCATTTGGTGTCTAGTTCTTAATTATTTTTGTTTCTTTAACAAATACACATGCCGATTTATGCTATGTGTCACATAGTTTGAAATATTTTATAATTGTTAAGCTATTTAATCTTAACAAACAATCCTATGGGGTAGGTACTATTCCGATGCCCATTTTACAGACTGCAAAAGTGAGGTAAAGAAGTTAAGTAGAAATAACTATACGCTGCACATAGGGTAAGAGACAGAGCAAGGATTCAAACAAAGACACTCTTACTTATAAGTACACGTCATTACCCCTGCCACCATGGACTCCCACATCTCAGGGGGTGGGGAGGAGATACTTCTTTTGAAATACTATTCTCCATCTGGTAGCTTCACTTTTAGAAAAAGAAGGAAAACAAAAGGAAACAAAAAGGTCTGGAAGCTCGGAGGGAACAGACATCCCCATGGCACCATGAAGTGCCTGTCTGACATTCCAGTCACTTTAGAGCCAATCCTTTTCCAGTGATTACTTTTCCCCAATCACTGGCCTAGAAAATGATGAGACAATGCTATTGCATGTGCCCAGAGTGGATTTTGCTGCAAAACTGACTGTCACACTGTGTCCCTCTTATCTCCCCATCCAGGCAGTCCCAAAGGGAAAACTGACCTACTGGCCAAGGTCCTCCGGTCCACGTCTTCCCTTTTGAGGACTCAAATCAAATCCGCCACGTCCATCACTGAAACAGCTATCAGAGAAACAGCTTCCTGACACCTGCCTTTTCTAGCTATTTTCCCTTCCAGGGAGCATGCCATCGCAATGCCACCCCGCCCCTGGTGGCATTTCAACCTGGTGGACTTCAGGCCCCCGGGAGGAAGACGGCAGGTACCAGGCAATGAGCGAAGCCCTGAGCTCTCGTTCCAGCACTACGGACAGTTAGTTGTGTGGCCTTGGGTAAGTCATTTAGCGTCTCTGCTCTCATCTATAACCTGAGCGGAAGAGCCAGGAAAGATCTTTTTCTTTCAACATTAATATAGTTAGTAAAGATCTTTTGATACCCAGTTTTCCAGGTTCTTTTGTGCCCATTTGTATCCAAAGCCAAGTAACTGCAAGGTTCCAATCCAGCTGGTGAGAGGCAACCATTCACACTCTTCCCCCAACACCTTCATCTCCCCGTTCCCACTCTCTACTTCTCTCTCTCTCCTCTTTCTATCATTCTTCAACATACCTCCTCTACCTCTACACAATTCCAAACGTCTTTGATTCGTAAATGGAAAGACTTCTGGGGAAAATCTATCTTCGAGATGCCTGGGTGGCTCAGTCGGTTAAGCGGCTGCCTTCGGCTCAGGTCATGATCCCAGGGTCCTGGGATCGAGCCCCTCTTTGGGCTCCCTGCTCAGTGGGGAGCCTGCTTCTCCCTCTGCCTGCCACTCCCCCTGCTTGTGCTCTCTCTCTGACAAATAAATAAACAAAACCTTTAAAAAAATCTATCTTCATGTGACAGAGCCACAAAACACAGACAGATGTCCATGGCTTTCTCCAAATTTCTCCATGAACTCTGGGTGGAGAAATTACTTTCCACTACTTACCTACTCTGGTTATTTCTTCTCCTGGCCCCCACCACTAAGTAACTCTAGGCAGTTACAACATTCTTTGAATTGTGGTTCATAAAATGGGGTGAAAATACCTACTGTATCAAGTTGTTGTGTTAAAATTTCAGTCCTCGGCACAGTGTAAATTCTTGGTCATTATTATGTGTAAATATTAATAATGATATTTGGTATAATGAAGCTTATCCAGAAGGCTCTGGAATGACAGTATGTATGGGGCTGTTGGCATGGTCAGACAGGCATAAAAGGGCAGGAGTAGAGTGCTTTTCCTCAGAGAGCTAAATTGCCCTCACCTCCTTCTCCTCAGACCCTTGCCAGAGCTCATGATTTACAAATACACAAAAGGCTCCTGGGTGGTGAGCCCCAGAAGGAATTTGGAATGAGCCTCTTCTCTTTCTTTGAGGGGTGGAGAGACAAATGATAATGCTCCAGTGATGGGGAAAAAAATTGCAGAGAGCACATCACAAACCCAAGGGTGGTTGTCTGGGGCCTCAGGTGTGCTAATAAGCATTGTGGTGAGGAGTGGCCTGTCCTAAAGAACATTTTCTTTTACAAGTTAATTAAACAAGTCAGCATACTGAATAGCTTTCTAATTCATCAGGAAAACCGGAGGGCAAGCCATAAAAGAAGTAAACCACAAACCCAGCGCATGCTGTTCTCATTCTGTCAGTCAGAGCTAGCAAGAGGGGTAAATAAACCAGCACAGTATTCCTCTGGCCTGGATCCCTGTCCCATCCTTGCTCAGAAATTTCCTTGTAGGACAAATGGCCTGGAGGGGACCATGTGCTCTTTCCTAATGGCAGTGTTAGAGGAGATAGGGCCCTAAAGTTTGGATCGACATGATTTGAGAAAGCAGGACACTGATGTCCACTCCTATGAGCTGGCCCTGCAGCCCAATGGCCCAGCATGGTTCCCTCCCATCCAGCCTCATCAGAGCAAAGCTGCTCCTTGGCAGAGTCAAGGCCGCTGCAGAGAAACAGAGCGCATGGCCTTGACTTCAGCCAGTTTAGGAGGAGGCGAAGGCAGGTCACATAAATCACTCGTGAAGCCACTGGACAGGCTTGCTAATAATTGCCCAACATTTCCACCTTCTTCCTTCATTTCACAAACTTTAAAAAAATTTTTTTTTAAATAAGTAGATCTATTCCACTTGCTTTGGAACCTCAAAATACCCAGGTTGTTTCCTGCAAATCTCCTTTACCCTTCACCAGAATGTCATTCCTGCTCCCAGTGGTCTCTGAGCTTCCTGAATCTGTACTTGCACCACACGCCATGTACCCACTGCCCAGACGGATGCCACTGGGACTGACCAGGAAGTGCCATTGTCAATGGTAGGATCTTTGGATGCCAGAGCCAGCTACGTTCCTGAGCTCTGTGTGGGCAGAATGGGGATAATGTTCAAGGGGGCCCTTAGGATCATCAGAAGAGCTATATGACACTTAATTTCCACATGACTCTTACCTACCCTCGGAAAGTGCTATGGACTGCACATTTGTGTCCCCACAAAACTCATATGTTGAGACCTAACCCCCAAAGTGATGGTATCAGGAGGTGTGGCCTTTGGAGCTGCTTAAGTAATGAAGGTGGAGCCCTCATGAATGGGACTAGCACCCTTATGAAAGAGACCCCAGAGAGCTCCCTCACCACTTCTGCCATGTAAGGACACAGTGAGCAGGGAGAAGATGTGATCTATGAATCGAGAAGCAGGCCCTCGCCAGACAAACCTGCCAGCATCTTGACATTGGACTTCCCAAGCTCCTGAACTGCAAGAAATAAATATCTGTTGTTTATAAGCCACTGAACCCAGTCTAAGGTACTTTGTTATACAGCAGCCTGAATGGACTAAGACAATAAGCAAACCTCAAATCTAATTAAGACACTCCAGTAGCAAGGTCAGTTGTCAGGAAAGACAACCCAGAGAAGGTATGTGGGAGTAGACTGGAGCTGGGGAAAAAGCAGTCAGCAGACATCAAAAGGAAGAAACTGGTCAAATAGCATCAGGCTCTTCTCTCCTGAGCGAGCATCACGCTAACCACAAAGAGCTGCTGCATTAATTACACGTCTCCTTGCTGAAGATTGACTCCTGGAGTATCTGCGAGAACTAATGAGCACAATCATAGCACCGCTCAGAACTTTTCATCTGCCAAGCACTTTACAAGATTAGCTCATTAGTCCACATTGCCCTCCTGTGAAGCTGGTAATTATTATTATGCCCAGTTCAGAGATGGGGTAACTGAGCAGAGATGAAGCTACTGCCTGGCGCCTCTGGGCACACCGCAGCCGTTCCTGTTCCGCACAGCAGAGCACAGGTCTTTGAGCTACCTTATCCCTGTCTTTCCCCTTGGCCCAGCCTCCCATTGATACGAGTATCCCTGAACAGGGTAGAAAATATAGGGGCTGGATCTTCATGTCATGTAATTACTGATCAATTCCCCTATAAAACAGTCATTACCCAAAAGAAGTTACTCTCTTATAGCTGAAGTATTGTTAGACTCTTACAAATGACCAATTCATATTCAAAATAATGAATTATTAATCTAATCAACAGATATTTACCGAACACATTCTATATTTCAAACATTACACGATGCACTGCACTCAATGCTAACTCAGTTTTTTAAAAAACAGGTGCGCCTGGGTGGCTCAGTCAGTTAATCGTCTGCCTTCAGCTCAGGTCATGATCTCAGAGTCCTGGGATCGAGCCCCGCAGGGAGCCCACGTCTCTCTCCCTCTGCTGCTCCCTCTGCTTGTGTTTTCTCTCTGTCTCTCTGTGTGTCAAATAAATAAATAAATAAATCTTTAAAAAAAAAAGAACAGTTTAAAAAAATAAAAAATAATGTGGATGCCCCTTCATTTCTATTGTAAGGTTACTTAACCCAAATATAGGGGATTCCTATAGAATTAAAATGCCTATTGTTTCATATTTCTGCTGTCCCCAGCTTTTGCATCCTCTAAATTTTGTTGACACAAAGAAGGAACTAATCACTTATATTCTAATCTATCAACATTATCCCAGGTGTTGGAAAAGAAAGGAGCCTTTTGCCCATTTGGTTCTGAACTTACTATGTAACCAATTCTGCTCTTGGAGCAAGTAGGGGTCCCTCCCCTTGGTTCCCAGAGTATAGCAGGCATCCCTTAGGGGTAGGAAACTTTAAGGTGGTAGGAAACCTCCAATGAACCACTGTCCAACTTTCCAGGGTGTCTGTTCTTATCAAAGATTCAGTAAGTAGAAGCTAAGTAAATTACCTGGTTAGTAATTTAAAATATTGATTTCCTAATAAAACAAGCAAGGCCATATTATGGAGTAAACTCAGGCACAAGACTTTAGATAAATAT